ATTCTTGAGTTTATTTGTCTAATAAGTTATTGGAAATGATTGGTTCAACTTCGGATTGTCTTGAATGTGACTGATTCTAAATCATATGTATCTGCATATATGATACAGAACCTTTTATTTGTTTCATACTTAATTCCCTTTCATTTCATTTGCAGGACGGGTAATATTTTCACTGGCCTAAGCTGTGTATTAATGGATTATTAGATACTCGTTGTGTATAAATTATGTGTTTTTCGGCAGGCATTTTGTACCGAATCTAACAATTGGTGCTCCTGTCATCGAGAGTTTAAGAAAGCACACAAAGTAAGAAAGAACGAATGAATTTATCTAATAGCTGACACATGTTCTCAAGTGAATTGATGTACCCCTTGGCCTTGATGATCACAGTGCTTATCTTGATTGCCACCTAATGGTGACGAACCCCATGGATTACGTGGAACAGATGGGTAAAGCTGGGGCGTCTGGTTTCACATTCCACGTTGAGGTGGCCAAAGGTATTAGTAGTAATCTTCATCACGGTTCGATAATGATGATCTTAATAATGATATTTGAGTACTTTGTATTGCAGAGAATTGGCAAGAGCTCGTGAGTAAGATTAAGTCTGCTGGGATGAGGCCAGGTGTGGCTCTAAAGCCTGGAACACCTGTTGAAGATATCTATCCTCTGGTATTGAATCTTCTTGCCTGTTTACAGAGCGTGATCAATCCACTTATGTCATTGCTTGACACGTACTTTGAGCAGGTTGAAGGGGCAACTCCGGTGGAAATGGTGCTAGTGATGACAGTGGAGCCTGGATTTGGAGGCCAGAAATTCATGCCAAGCATGATGGATAAGGTTGGTTTAAAAAAAAGATTGTTTCTAAAGCCATTTGTTTATTGAAACTAAACTCGGTTTAATGATATTATTTTTGGAGGATAGGTCAGGGCATTGAGGAAGAAGTACCCAACACTTGATATTGAGGTGGACGGAGGCTTAGGCCCTTCGACCATAGAAGCAGCGGCTGCAGCAGGGGCCAACTGTATTGTTGCGGGAAGTTCAGTGTTTGGAGCTCCGGAGCCAGGGGAAGTCATATCTCTTCTGCGGACCAGTGTTGAGAAAGCCCGAACCACCACCTGAGTAGTTCCCGTTTCTAATGTTTATGCATTCACCAAAGCAATAATAATCCTAAGAAACTTCCATGTTACTTATCAAATCTGTTATGTAAGAGCTGAAACATAAAAAAAAAAGAGCTTTGGACGAACCATCGGTTGCCTTGGATGATTGAGTTGGATATGCAAAAAGAAAAGGATTTGTTTAGACATTTCTTAGTAGTCTGAGTTTGTACTTGCGTAATGGAATGTTTAGTCTTGTCAAGCAAACTTTGTCATACGTAGTCCAAATTTCACCGAATGGATTTTGTGTGTTTGTTGAGAATTGGTATATCTTACCCCTAGTTTTTTACATGTTCTGAATCTGAGATAAACAACTTAGGCATACCACTTTGGTTAATTCGGTTAAAATTGGTCTGGATAATTTTGTTTTTTTGGTTATTTCGGTTTGTCCAAATTTTCACAGAGTTGAATCAAAAGAATTTTTGGTTCGATTTTCAGCTATTGTGTTCTTAAAACTCTACTAAATGTAATCGAATTTTTTTTTTTTTAGTGATTTTGGTTCAAATTTGTTAATTTTTTTTGATAATTTCGATTATTCCGGTGTTTTTCATTAATTCGATTAGTTTGGTTTGTAAATTGATTAACATTTGTAAAACTAAACCAATAATCAATTTTTTTTCAAAAAAAAAAGCTTGTCGAATTGAACCAAACTACTCATTCCGTTTCAATTTAATTATCGTTGTAGAGTAAAATTTCGTTTCAAATTAAGTGTCATTTTATAATCTTAGTGTAAAATTTATTAATTTTATCTATTATTCTATTTTTCTATTGGTTAAAATGTGATTAGGTGTATAGGTCATTGTGTTTTTTCTAGAAAATATGCAAAAGTGAATGTTTTTTTAATCTGTGTGAAAAAAATAAAATGACAACTAAATTGAATGAAGAGAGTAATATTTAGATACCAATTGAAAACTGAAAGTTTTGGTTTGGTTCCGCTCAGCTGGTTTGATTCGGACATTAGTTCCATGGTCAATGAACAAACTCAAATTACCGTTGGAGCTATTATGGTAACTTTATCGTAATAATAAATGATCTATCTTTTATTATATAAAGCAGAAGTCAATTAGCAATTTTGGAAGTGACATGTGTCTTTTCTTATATTCATTTACGATTTTTCTTTACAAATTCATTTATAATATATTTGTCGAACACTGTTTTCAAATTATTTTAAAATTTATTTTAGAAAAAATCAAACAGTTTTCTATCTCACGATTTTCAATTTTAACTACCCACTTTCACCAGTCTTCATCGTCAACCCATCACCCTCATTCATATATATACATATGAAATCTGAGAAAATTAGATTTAGCAATTACTATTTTAACAGGTAAACCGTATATTGTTTATTCTGAATCATTATCAATTTTTTTTGTAAATGTACAACTTAAGAATTGTTTTTTAAAGGTCTTATTTCAGGTACCACTGTGCGTACTACAAGATAAGGCTTACTTTCACACTAATCTCCAATTAAAGCCTCTGAAAGCAAGATATGGAAAGTTGACAGGGAGTCGAGGATTGGAAGGTGAGGATGATTCATCGGTTTCATATATTTTCTTATCTGGTTATATCAAACTCATCTGCTGTTTATTGTTTTTTTTTTTAATCTTTATTACAATTTTGTTACTTTCATCAGTTTTCTAATTCGAAATTGCAGATGTCGAGCCTTAAACTATACACTAGGGTTCATGAAACTGATGGCATCTTTTGACAACTCGGTAATGATCGTGTTTACAAGAAATCAATGATCACGTTCGCATCCAGGCCAGCGTATGTTTTCCAAAAGTTAGTTCATGACAAGCATTAAAAGTAGATACTTTTTTAAGCACACTTGATTCCCAATTAATTTTACATGGTTTTTGGTAATAAATGTTGCTATGGATCTTTACAATAAGCATTAGTGTAAACTCATTTCAGTATTATATTTTTAAACTTTTTGCAAGATAAAATCATAGAGAAGAGAGAAGATAAAGTTTACTGGTAAAAACCGTAATTAGTATGCTGCTTCTCATATTTTTTAAAAAAAATATCTTATATACTGTTAGATGGCTTAATTTTGAAATTTATTTACAAGATTCTCAAAACATGTGTATACTTTTTAGTTTTAAGTATCTTTGAACTTTTATTAAATATATCCTTCTGGTTAATCATACTTAATTTTTTTTACTAATCATATTACACATATATTTACAATACTCATATACAGAAAGAAATTATTTATTATTTTGAGTTATACTAAAAAAAAATGTGTCCATGCAAAGCATGGGCAGTAATACTAGTTTATAATATTTTGAAAGTAATGCGCGTTCGAATTTAATAATCACTGCAAATTTTAAAAAATAGAAAACAAAAACATTATGAAAAGAATGAAACACCAAATCAGGCCAACTCCCGAAGATCTTCAGCGACTACTTGATATTGGAGAGATACGCGGGTTTCCGGGAATGATAGGAAGCATCGACTGCATGCATTGGGAGTGGAAAAATTGCCCAACAGCTTGGAGAGGACAGTACACACGTGGGTCAGGAAAGCCCACCATTGTCTTAGAGGCTGTTGCTTCACAAGATCTTTGGATTTGGCACGCTTTTTTTGGTCCTCCGGGGACTTTAAACGACATTAACGTCCTCGATCGGTCACCTGTTTTTGATGACATTATACACAGTCGGGCTCCACCGGTGAACTACATTGTCAACGGACACCACTATGATTTGCCATACTACCTAACGGATGGTATATATCCAAAATGGTCAACATTTATCCAGTCTATCTCACTCCCTCAAGGTTCTAAAGCAGAGTTATTTGCTAAACATCAAGAAGCAACCCGGAAAGATGTGGAGCGGGCTTTTGGAGTCTTGCAAGCTCGATTTGCTATAGTCAGAAATCCGGCTGTTTTGTGGGACAAGACACAAATAGGTATGGTCATGCGGACATGTATCATACTTCACAATATGATCGTGGAAAATGAACGTGACGGCTACACTCAGTTTGATACTTCTGACTTTGAAGAAGGAGACTCGAGCCGAAGTTCGCAGGTCGACATGTCCTATACTACGAACATGCCTTCACATTTCGGTAATATGCTTGGCATACGAAATTCTATCCGTGATAAGCGTACGCATGAACGATTGAAAAATGATTTGGTTGAAAATATTTGGAAGAAGTTTGGTAATGATAATGATGTATAATTATTGTATGTGTTAAAATGTTAATGTTTTAAAATAAATATATTTTGAAAATTTTTTTTTTTTTATTTTAATAATTTTATATTGCTAAGGATTCCAGAATAAGTAACACCATTGGACACACTTTATGGGATAGAATCCTTAACTATTTGAAAAAAAAAAAAACAAAAAAAAAAATATATTTTAATACCTAAGGACTCCAATGGTGGTAACACGAGTCAGACGTATACGTTTGTACATTGACCTCACACTGTCTCTCTCTTATTGTTTCCTTCTTATTCGTCTGTCGTGGCGTGTCTGTTCTTAAACCCCCCTCATCATCGATAACTGAAGCATCATGAGCTGTTTTTTTAATATTGACGAAAGTACCCTCAAATCGAGTTTCGTTCTTTTTGGATTAAAGACCCACCAGAAGTTTAAATTCTCACTGACTCATTTGTTTTTTTTTCTTGCAATACCCTGAACCAAAGTTTGCATCTTTCTCTTTCATTTCGTGTGAAAGCAAGAAGCTTTGAGAAAAAATGGGTATGGGCACAAGCACTTTCGTTATAAGATGGGTCAATCTTCTTACTATGGTCAGACCTTCTTCCTCACTTTGAATTCTCTTTTAATGGATTGTCGGATTAGATTCTTGGTTTCCGTACAGTTTAGGTTACGGTTCTGTCTTATGAAGATTCCTAGTGAAAGTCACTGCTTGAGTTGTAAATAATGTGTGAAAGTTTCGACCCTTAAATGTCTGTTTGTTTCTACAACTCTTTAGTAATGTTTTTTTTTGTGTATTACAATGTTTTGTGGGGAAGCTTTTGGCAGTGGCAGTGATAATATTTGGGGTGTGGATGAGTACACACGATGATGGATGCAGAAGGTCTCTTACCTTTCCTGTCTTAGCTCTTGGTGGTTTCATCTTCTTAATGTGAGTTTTACACTACACAACAAGGGTTATTTATTAGTTATGTCTTTTTTACTCGTTCATGAAAATGTTATCTGATTTTAATGTAATTTTCTTCAGATCCATAATTGGGTTTCTTGGTGCGTGCAAGAGAAGTGTGGCGCTTCTTTGGATTGTATCCTTTACTTACCATATTCTGTGTTTGCTGTTTCTTCTGTTTTTGAATTTTCCTTGACATATGATGATTCTCCTTTTGAAGTATCTTGGCGTGCTCCTGATCGTTTTGATCGCTATTCTTGTCTTTACAGTATTAGCGTAAGTCTCATCTTCCTTAAAGGTTATTCAAGAAAACTTGAAGATCTACTTGAAGAATTCTCATTCATTGTTCTCTTTTTGTGGGGGATTTACAGGTTCATTGTAACAAACAACGGGTCAGGGCATACCAACCCTGGTTTAAGGTAAGGTGTAGCCTATTCTTCTTCCATTATTCTGAAGCAGAGATCTTGAATCTTTCTGCATGTTATGATAGGTACAAGGAGTATAAGCTGAATGACTACAGCTCATGGTTTCTAAAACAGGTATTATTATGTAGTTCAAAACAAGAATGGTTTCTTCTTCTCTCTTTTACTTCTAACTCTTGTGGATGTTCCAGCTTAACAACACTAATCACTGGAAAAGACTGAAGAGTTGTCTTGTTAAATCCGAGCAATGCAGGAAACTTTCAAAGAAATACAAGGTCTAGTAGATTTCCGCTAGTTAAATTCCTTTGGCCCTGATAATCTTTTTTGAATGTTGTTGATTTTCTTTTGTTGTGTTCAGACCATCAAACAGTTGAAATCTGCAGAGTTAACCCCTATAGAAGCTGGATGCTGTCGACCACCGTCTGAGTATATATATGCATATATGACTCTTCTTGTTGTTTACCAATGATTCTATATCTGTTGAATTTTAATTGTCTCAATGTTTATGCAAAGGTGTGGTTATCCTGCGGTGAATGGTTCTTACTATGACTTGAGTTTTCATTCAATAAGTTCTAACAAAGATTGTACGCTTTACAAGAATCAGAGGACCATCAAGTGCTACAACTGTGATTCTTGCAAGTAGAGCTAATCAACTTCTCCCGATATTTTAATTCTGTACAATTAGTGTGCAGGTGAAGCTAATTATTGTTTCCATTTGATTAATAACCGCAGAGCTGGAGTAGCTCAGTACATGAAAACCGAGTGGCGACTTGTTGCGATGTTCAACGTGGTTCTGTTCCTTATCTTGGTAAGACATTACTTAAACAAAGATCCAAGGTTCTTCTTGTCCCATTTGTAAAGTTTGGGGGTTTTTAAGAAATTATTAACACAAAAATCTCTTCGAAACAGTCAATGGTTTACTTTGTGGGGTGCTGTGCGAGAAGGAATGCTGCTAGTTACCGGTCCAAAGCTTAGAAACTGAAGCCTTGTCGTTGAAAATCTCCATTGGTTTCTCTGAAGTTGTAGAACCTTTGTTCATTCTAGCATGTTGGTGAATGTTTTACAAAGAGAAGACTGGCTTGTGAGAGGCACAAGAACAACCACTTTCTCTTCATTCTTTAACTCTGTGTAATCAATGAACTGAGACAGATGGAATTAATACATGAAAATTCTGATTTACAAAAGTCTAGTTATTATTCATAACTGTTAATAATTACAAATTTTTTTTTTGTCATATATATACATCAATGAAGCAGATGAGAGCGCAAGATTAGTGTAGTACAGAAACTAGAACACACAGTAATGCAAGAGTTATCTTTCCAAGAAAAATACGACTAGATTAATCCTTTTAAAAGCAACTACAAGTTCTTTTGAAAAGCAATTCTCAATAAGACCCAAGAACAACTTGACTTATTGACTAGCCTAATCAATTCACGACTTACCCTAGTCGGTGAATTGCTTCTAACTCTTAGAGTGCTTTGCCTTACCTTGCTCGGTTTCACAAACCTCTATCTAGCTAAAAGATCACCCAGTGTGTTAGCCGACTACAACTCAGTCGACCCTCTCTTTATACCTAGAGAGAAAACCCTAAAAACTACCCAATGGAAACTTTTCATTTTCTATTTCAGCGAATAAGACAACCTTCTTCTTTTCTTCATCGGTTGCTTATTCTCCACTCCTTTTCCTTAAAGCCCACGCCTTGATAAATATCTTCACCTCTTTATAAAAGACTCCTTCCTTTTCTTGCTTAGCTCTCCACTCCACGTTTCACCCAGTAGTTCATGTCGTGCTTCATGAACTACTTCAGCTCCG